CATCCCATGCACCCCCCGTGTCTCTGCCACCCTGTCCCCCCGTACGTGTCCCCTCCCCGCCACGCGTCCCCAGGACCTAACCGTGTCTCTTCTCTCCTGTCCTCCTGACGGTGCCGGTGCTCAGTCCGGAGACGGCCAGGTTAGCGCCGCGCGCGGGGACCCCCCCGGGACCCCCAGTGTCCCCAGGGCCACCTCTGGGTGCCACCAGGCCCCAACGGCCTCTATCCCTATGGCCTGAGCGCCCTGACGTGTCCCTTGTCCCCATGGCATGGCACTCTTGCTTCTGCTGTCCCCATTGGTGTATGGCCGATGTCCCTGATGTCCCCACGGCCCTGACACTGCTGTGCCCTTCACAGGGGGGCGGCTCGGAGCAGGAGAGGACTAAGAAGAAGCGCCGGGGCGACCGCTACTCCATCCACACGTCCCTCATCGTGGCCACCCTCAAGAAGATGCTGCCCATCGGCCTCAACATGTGCTCGCCCACCGACCAGGAGCTCATCAGCCTGGCCAAGACCCGCTACGCGCTGGTGGGTGACAGGGGACATCATGGATGGGGGGTCGTGATGAGGACGGGGGCACCGGGGCGGTGGTTTGAGGTGTGGAGGTGCTGGGGTGGTGGGGACATCAAGGATGGTGGTTTGGGGTGATGGGGACATCAAGGATGATGGTTTGGGGTCTGGGGTGGTGGAGACATCAAGGATGGTGGTTTGGGGTGACGGGGACATCAAGGATGATCGTTTGGGGTCTGGGGTGATGGGGACATCAAGGATGATGGTTTGGGACCTGGGGTGATGGGGACTCCGGGGATGGTGGTTTGGGAACCTGGGGTGATGGGGTAATGAGGACATCAAGGATGAGGGTTTGGGGTCTGAGGGGTCTGGGGTGATGGGGACACCGGGGATGATGGTTTGGGGTGATGGTGACATCAAGGATGATGATTTAGGGTCTGGGATGATGGGCACATCAAGGATGAGGGTTTGGGGTCTGAGGGGTCTGGGGTGATGGGGACACCGGGGATGATGGTTTGGGACTTGGGGGGATGGGGACACCAGGGATGATGGTTTGGGAACCCGGGGTGATGGGGACATCAAGGATGATGGTTTGGGACCTGGGGTGATGGGGACACCAGGGATGATGGTTTGGG